GGAACATTTTGCAAGAAATGAGTCAGATTTCCTGGGAAAACTGGTAACTGGTGAGGAGACATGGATCTACTGTTTTGATCCTGAGACAAAGGAACAGTCTAAGGAATGGAGGCACAGTGGTTCCCCCAGGCCAAAGAAGTTCTGAGTGCAAAGGTCGGTGCAAAAGCAAATGGCAACAGTTTTTTGGGGTGAGAAGGGAGTTCTGCTGGTGGACTACCTCTAACAGGGTTCAGCCATCAATGCAAAATATTACTGTGCTTTATTGACGAAGTTAAGGCAAGACATCAAGGAAAAACGTTGACGAAGGCTCTCCAAAGGTGTCATCCTGATCCATGACAATGCCTTGTCACACACTGCAGGTGAAACAACGACAAAACTGACGTCCTTAGGCTCTGAAGTGATGCCCCATCCACCCTATTCTCCTGACCTGGCTCCTTCTGACTATTATCTGTTCCCCAAACTCAAAAAACACCTAAAGGGACAACAATTTGGGAGTATTCTGGAGGCAACTAATGCTGCAAATGAGTGGTTACACCAGCAGTCGGAAGAATTTTATTTGCAGGGACTTTAGAAGCTGCAGGACAGATGTTGCAAGTGCATTGACTTCCTGGGGGAATATGTAGAATAGTGTGGCAGTTACAGCTTCCTAGCTCAATTTTTTCTGGGAAAGGTGCAATACTTATCAGCACCCCCTCATATGATTGAACTTATTCTGCTTGACTATACGGGGCCATTTCAGGGTATACTTAGTAATTTCATGTATTTGTTTTTAAACAGAGAAGGAAACATGGAAGAGTCAGCCATCCGTGTGGGCTTTGTCACCTACAACAAAGTTCTGCATTTCTATAATGTGAAGAGCTCCCTGGCACAGCCACAAATGATGGTTGTGTCAGATGTAGCAGACATGTTTGTACCTCTGCTTGATGGTTTCTTGGTGAATGTGAATGAGTCTCGCACAGTTTTTACCAGGTAAATAGAAGTTGGCATCTTACCATGCTCTTTATAGTAGCTCTGGCTCTCTTTTTATTGATTTTAAGCTACAGAAAGACAGTGTATTATGTGCATGAACATATAGTAATCAATGTATGGGTATAGGTGGGTGAAGAAAGGAAATATCTCTTCTGTCCCTCAACTCTGCAGTCTGGTGGCAGTTGGGGGAAAGTGAAGCAGTTGTTCTCATAGCTCTGCTTTACTTTTTTTCCCTCTCTCAAAAAAATAAATATAAAAACAATTTATGTACAAAATAAACCTAAAATCAGAAGTGGCATCATTAGACCAGGGAGCAAAATTCCAGAGCAGATAAAATTAAAACTGAGGAGTCTAAACTGTATGGGTTTAAAAGGCCTGGGCAAACAGTCACATTCAGGGAAACCTCTCTGGGAAAATTGTGCATGACTGGTATGGCAATATCAAAAAGGCCCTCTCTCTCATGACTTCTTTTCTCACTTCATTTGACAGCTGTTCCAAACAGTTACTGAAGAAGATTGAGGCAGATACTAGTGACTTTAGCCTTAATGCTACAATTGGGCTTTGAGGTTTGTTTGTTTTTTTAATGTCTGCCTATCAGCAAAGCTGAGGTAGACTTGGACAACTTAGGAAAAGCTCAGCTGGATAGCATCTTGAGGAAGAAGTGGTTGCTTCCTCAGTGTTACCACCACCAAAAAAAGGAGGCTTGGTAATGTGTTTCTTCCTGTACCTACTTGAATTTGTTTTGACATTTCCATTACCAGCATTCTAGTTTTCTCTTGTTGTACTTCATAGCACATAGCTCCCTGATAAACCAAGGAGAAGAAGAATTCCAAGATACAGCTCCATAAAACAGTGACTTTTCTCTAGAACAGTTTACACAGTGAAACTGAACTCTATTAGCCCTTGAATATACAAAACATTAGGCAGGCTGCAAGGTTAAGTACCTGCCTTGAGATCTGTTCTATTACATAGATGAAGGAAAGAAAAAGATTCCTCAACACCACAAAATAACCACAGCACTGTCCTGAATCCACAAAGTACAATGCCAGTTTCTGTCTGAAGTTTACATGGTCCAACTTATTATACTGTGTGACTTTCATTTTCATGACTTGCAGTTTGCTGGACCAGATACCAGAAATGTTTGCTGATACAAGAGAGACAGAAACAGTATTTGGACCAGTGATTCAGGCAGGCATGGAGGCTCTAAAGGTATGTTTGGTGTTAATCATCAGTCTAAACATTTTTCCTAATGTTATTTCTAATAATCTGTTTAAAAACTGACAAATACTAGAGTTCAGCTCATTACAGAACTAATACTCTTCCATCTAAGCTTTTGTGGACTGCAATTGTACACATCATGTAAGAATTTTTAAAGAGAAATAGTGGACCTGATGTACCTGTTGCACCTTACAGCACTTTAAATTCCTACTGGCAACATGTACCCGTAATGTATATCTGCTAACTAAGGAAAACATGCATTGTACTATGTGGGTTCTAGTCCACGAAAACATATGCTGTGATAAATGCATTGGTCTTTAAGTTATGATAAGACTTTTGTTTTTTGTTTTTTCCCCTTTAAAGAGTTAAATTATCTGATATTTATTACATTGGACCCTTTCAGATCTGTTGGTGAAAAGTAGTCAAGAATGTGGTGCTATATTTCTTTAGCCGCCCTGAGTAGACATTGTCTAGAGGGGCGGGGTAAAAATAAACAAACCCCTACCTACCTACCTGCCTGCCTGCCTACCTGCCTGCCTGCCTGCCTGCCTGCCTGCCTACCTACCTACCTACCTACCTACATACCTACCTACCTACATACCTACATACCTACATACATACATACATACTTCTCATAAACATACATACATACATACATACAACTTCTCATAACAGTGTCACTTTTCAAGAGTCAACTGTAACCTTGGCAAACCTACCAAGTTACTCTATCTAATGTCTAAGGAGTGTTCAGTGGACATCAGTAATTATCAGGAAAGGCAGCTTGTGATAACTAGAATCTGTTATGAGTTTCACCTTCTTCCAAATATTCTTGAAACATATAGAAGACTATGTAGTGATCTTATATGGGTTGTTGAAAACCAGTAAGATTGTTACAATTAAAAAATCTACATAGCTGACAACAGTGCATAAATATAGTTTTATAAATGTGCTACATCTTAATAGGCTCTCTAAATATGATGATATGGCATCTAACTAGATATGATGTGCTACATCTTAGTTGAAAACCAGTAAGATTGTTACAATTAACAAATATACATAGCTGATAACAGTGCATAAATATATCATAGTTTTATAAATGTGTTACATCTTAATAAGCTCTCTAAATATGATGATATGGCATCTGTTTCCATGTAGTGCTTTCTTGCAGCATTATGAGAGCAATGATTAATCTGTTTAGACTAGCAACTGTATTTTGGCCTTAATAGGCTCTCTAAATATGATGATATGGCCTAACTAGAGTAAGCCCATTGAACCTGTGGGATTTGCATATGTTTTGACATATTATTTAGCAGTTGAACGAGTATCCTTACTCTGCTTGGCTAGCAGATTTAAAGATTTAGTCTTTAAAGTGTCCCAGGACTTTGTTGTTTTTGCTGAGATAGATAACATGGCAACCACTTTGGAAACCATTAATATTATAGCTCACTTTTAGAACATTTTGTGCCATAGTTCTGCTGTTTGGTAGAACACCAAATAGCTTTTTATAAAACAGATCTTTAATATTTTAATGGTGTGGATATGTACAGAAGGATCTTTGAAAACCCTGAGTCTCTCATCTGCCATTTTTGTTTCTAATCAAAGACCTTTTGATTGCTTACAGGCAGCAGAGTGTGCTGGAAAGCTCTTCATATTTCATACATCCCTGCCTATTGCAGAGGCACCAGGGAAGCTGAAGAACAGAGATGACAAGAAACTGATAAATACAGATAAAGAAAAGGTGAGGGTTCTGTGCTCTGTGGATTGTACCTGGTTTTCTTTATCAGCTGGAAAGATGGGAGAAAACACTGCAGAGTTGATCCAAATGCCTTCTTAAGTAACAATTATTCCTTCTTCCCTAACCACTCTGCTCCTGCCTGCACAGAATCTGTACTTTTAGTATCCAGCAACTCCCAGCGTCTTACTTTCTTTTCCAAGAACTGACTGAAGTTCTCCACACCACAGTCAGTTTTAACATCAAAAGAACTTGTCAGTTCAAGAAGCTATAGGGATTCCTTTGTCAGCTGTAACTCCTGTTGAAACACACAGCAATGTGGGGATTCCTATAGTAAGAAAACGGTAGTAGGGAAATATTTGGTTGCCTTTTTCCTCCATTGACGACCAGAGATAAGCAACAACAATAAAAACTTTATGAAGAATAGAGCAGCAGATGAACCCTGAGAAGCAAATTTCAAGTGTAAACATTCTAAGTATTAGTGGCTGAAATCCTGTTGCTTAGCATATGAAAATGAATACATCTCAGTCTATTCCTAAATGTCAAATAGAAAGTACCTGATGCACTATTGGCTTAATGCAGACATGTGCACTCCCAGGAATCACCACATAGTTTTTATTTGCTAGTTAAGAATGGACTGAAAGTTATAAATTTTCTTACGCTAAGCAGCAGGATTTCAAGTCAGTGTCTCTTGGCTACTGTAGTATTAAAGGCTTTGTTTATCACCTTGCATTGTATAGCATTTATAAAGAGAAAATTTGTAGATACCTTACTTTTTCTCACAACAGGGTTATGTGTAGACTTCTGGCTCTCATTCTGAGCAAGGGCATCTGTGTACAGATCCAACATCTGCTCTTTGAAAATTCATGTTGTGGCTTTTCATTATTTTAGTCCTTTTCACCTTCTCTTTATGATCATTTTCTTGGTAATCAAGCTAACTCACCCAAGGTTAGCTTATTAAATTAAAGCACAGCAATTTACAACACAATGGCTGGATTTCTGTTGCTTAGCATGGTAAGTTGTAACTAAAGTAGTTCCATTGAATTGGTGGGGATTTGGTGAGATGGCTCCTTCAAAGTACCACTTATTCAGCAGCTGTACTGTTGCAACCTACTATGCTAAGCAACAGGATTTGAGCCAGTCAAGCTATGCTATCAGTTGTTTTGTTTTGGCTTGTGACTCCTGCTTTTAAATACTTTCCCCATTTTGTCTGTGAGAGGACATGCTTGTTTGGACTAAAACACAATTTAGAAAAACACATTCCAGTGGTGTCCCCATCCAAATTTCTTTCCCTTTCGCCTGGCCACTTTAAAGAACTTTGCTAAAACCGAATTGTTGCATAGTCATCAAGAATTTTGGAACCTGGTCTGTGTGAGATATTTATCCAAATGTTGACAGAGTATGTTGCTTCCAAATGTGGCAGAAGCATGTGAATGTTGCAGAATGACTGGGGGAAAATTATGCTTGATTTTCCTTTCTATTATTGGTCACATGGCAAGAACTGGGGGGATGTCCTGAACCTGTTATATTGTCAGAAGTTGAGAAACAAGTATATGCTAATTGCTCAGCATCCTTTCTGATTTCTGTGTCTACTTGTTTTTATTTCCTAGACATTGTTTCAGCCTCAGACAAGCTTCTACAGCAATTTAGCCAAGGAATGCGTAGCACAAGGCTGCTGTGTGGATCTGTTTCTTTTTCCAAATCAGTATTTGGATGTGGCTACATTAGGAGTGGTTCCTTACCAGACAGGTGGCTCCCTTTATAAGTACACCTTTTTCCAGGTATAGTTTGCTTGAGTTTTGATGCATGCTCAATAAAAGTTATTTTTGGTAGACAGTAGTCATAGCTGATCTTGAAGAAGGAAAAAAAACAAGCTAGGTAAAAATCTTTTTTATTAAACCAACTTGGTCTGATGTGGGATTACGCAGGCTGCATTCAGTTTATAGTAAGAGCGGTTTTCTTGTGACCTTTTTAGACATTGGCCTGCCTGAAGATTGCTCTGACATGTGCAGGTTGATATGCTTAAATACAAATCCAAACTAGCTTAGTAAGCAATCATTAAGACATTTTTATCATACAGTATATCACAGAAGTGAGTACACCCCCTCACATTTCATAAATATTTTAATACAGTGGTGCCTCGCTAGACGATGATAATCCGTTCCATTGAAATAGCTGTTTAGCGAAATCAGCTGTCAATCCTACAGTTCAATGCATTCCAATGGGGGGACAAATTCACCAAAAATTAACGAAGACTCAGAACAAAGCCAAATTAAGTTTGCAAAGGTTTTCCATTGAAATAGCTGTTTAGCGAAATCAGCTGTCAATCCTACAGTTCAATGCATTCCAATGGGGGGGACAAATTCACCAAAAATTAACGAAGACTCAGAACAAAGCCAAATTAAGTTTGCAAAGGTTTTACAGGGCACACTAACGATTCCAAGCATTTTAAACAGTTTTTGAACATTTTAAGACACACTTAAAATAGCGAAAACGGACCTGTCAAAACCATTTAAATGCATTGAAACCTATTCAATGCATTCCAATTGGGGAACTGCATTTCGCTTAGCAATGTTTCCTATGGCAATTTTTGCTTAAGGATGGTAATCCGTTCCCATTGGAACGGATTATCCGGTTTTCAGTGCATTCCTATGGGAAATGGTGTTTCACTTAGCGATGTTTTCCCATAGCGATGTTTTTTTTAACCAATTAACATTGCTAAGCGAGGCACCACTGTATTTGTTGGCATATTCTTGTTAGGATTTTGGCAGGTTGAGTTCTGTAGGTAGCCCCACGTAGAGCGCGTTACAGTAGATCTAATTTGATCTACCCTGGTAATCTATTCCTTCCAAGTGCTTTCAGAGCAGCTTTCACTTCATTTTTTAAAACTGCAAGTTCATCTCTAACTCTACTATTGAGTTTTGATATTGATAGCTTGAGTTTTGATATTGACCATTTGTGTTGTCGTTCTTTCCTGGTCTTGTTTTTGCAGGCAATATAGAGCAGTGATGTTCTTGTTAAGGATCTTTAAATTTGCAAGTGTGTTTGTGCGTTATCTGGGTATTTAACTGATAGATATTGGTTCTGAAGGCCACTAAGACTCTAATGTCCATAGGACACCTCCATGCCAGCAGTTTCAACCCATTTGTTGTTTGTGTACACTAGGTGGAAACAGATCAGGATCGCTTCTTGAATGATTTGCGAAGAGATGTTCAGAAAGAAGTGGGCTTTGATGCTGTGATGAGGGTGCGCACGAGCACCGGTGAGTACACGTAAACATATAGTGTATATGCAGCTCAGTGTCTTAAGAGCACACAGGGGTGCTCAGACCTGCTGAAGCTAGGGTGCAGTTTGTCTTGGTACTATCAGCACCTTTTGCCAAGTCATAGCCTTTTAGATGCCTTCAAAAAAAAACCAAGGGTTTTCTCTTGCCTCCTAGGTATTCGAGCAACAGATTTCTTTGGAGCTTTCTATATGAGCAATACAACAGATGTGGAGCTAGCAGGGCTAGACTGTGATAAAACAATCACAGTGGAGTTCAAACATGATGATAAGCTGAATGAAGAAAGTGGAGCACTTATTCAGGTGAACTGCAGAGAAGTGTAATAAAGGGGAGTGGGTGCCATTCTTTAGGAATATAGTTTTGTGCTGAGATATTAAATATTTCCAGCCTTAAGATATGTTGTGGTATTCGGGCATGCAAGAGTTGAAGGACCCTTGTTAAGTCAAACAGAAAACAGTGGGGACTGTTTTGCAATGATTGAAGTATTTCGCACATAGACTCTAATACCTCTGATTGTAATATTTTGTCTAGTGTGCTGTATTGTATACAAGCTGTGCAGGACAAAGGCGACTGCGTATCCACAACCTATCCTTGAACTGCTGCACACAGTTGGCCGATCTTTACAGAAACTGTGAGACGGACACACTTATCAACTACTTAGCCAAATTTGGTAAGGGCATTTGTATTCCCAGAGAGGACGCCTCGAGTCCCAAACAGGTCTCATACAGGAGAGGTTACAGGAAAATACCTACCATCGTTTATCCTGCTGTAGATATGGCTGAAAGTAAATGGGACCTTACCCTCTATGTTGATGGAATTATGTGGACAGATTGTATTATGACTAGATGATTTCAGTACAGAAGTGCTCAGCAATAAAGAAATATATGTTACATAACACTGGTTAATTGACTTCACACTGTGGTTATAAACAATGTACCTTGTCTGTATTCACCCAGACCTATGGTATGGTGATGTGGTACAAAATTGTACTGTAAGGACATTTGCAGATGGCTTCAGTATGTGGGATGTATTAATATATTGAGATGGCTACAAGTGAGCACATAGAATGCATTTATCGTGCTTCAGATAGCATTATTCATAATCTTCATTTCCAACAAAAGTTTGTATAGAATAATTATTAAATTCAAAGTTGAAATATTGTTTCCAGATAAGAATTGCCACAGAATCTTTCATTCTCTTTTAGTTTGTCTATCCTTCATGAAAAATAGCAACTCTCTTTGAGGCCTTTGACTGGAGCTGGTTCGGCACTGTGCCTGCACAAAAGTTATGCGGACACCTCGTACTTCCCCCTCCCACCTTCTCCACATGATTGGCCTCTCACCATTTAAAACTGTGCTTCCCTCCTCCGCCTCCTTTGGCAGCTGCCCACTCCAAGGTATCTCTGCCCCACCTCCTCTTCTGAGTGGGTGGCAGCTGGAAGAGGTAGAGGAGGAAAGGCCTGCAAAGGATGAGTGGGTGGTCATGAGGGGGAGGGAGGGAGGGAGACACATTTTGCCTAGGGAATGTGTGAGCACATAGAGGAGGCAGGAGGGTGAAGTATGTGGCACCCGCAGAACCACCTCTGTGGGTGCAGCGCCGAACCAGCACAAACCTCTGAACCGAAGTGTGTGCCCATCTCTACCTTTGACTCATTTATATGCCATCTGACTTATATAATAAGAGCTCATTAAGAGAGAACTAATGAGGAAGTGTACATAGACTTCTTACATTGCTGCAATGAACTAATCGAATGAGATTGTAGTATACATGTTCATGTTACATATACTAACAGAATTTGGAGCAGGAAGCAGTCTTTTGAGGTGATGCTACTGCATCTCTTCTGACTGTAGAAGAGCATATAGCCTAATAATTGTGTTCTGGACACCTTGCTCTCCACCTGCAGAATGATTAAATCATTCATCAGATTCTTAACCTTGTGCAGGGGAATATTCCCTGGGCACAAATATCTGTCTTTCTCCATTTTGCTCACTTTTTTCTGTATGTGGAAACTGGGTGTCCTTATTAGAGTAACTTTCAACCCAGCTAATGGAATGTTTGCTATCACATCCTCACTTGAAATATGTGAATAGGTAAACAGTGAGATGGGGGTACAGTAGATATTTAAGTACATGAGATGAAGTAGGCTGTCGTCCACAAAAGTTGTTATTGTAACAAACCATTTAGTGTTTGAAGTGCCACAAGCCTCTATGATGTTTTTAAAAGCCTAGAGACCTTGGAAACCCACTGCCAGTTAATGGATAGCACTGAATTAGAAAGATCACTGGACTGAGTTTGTATCAGCAGCTCCCATTTTCATGTTGCAAAGCAGTACAGTGAGAGCAAGAATATTTTCCTCAGCTTTTTGATGAGATTTTTTACGGGTCAGGAAGCTGTTTAAAAACTCTGTACATCAACATGTAAATCCTAATGTTGCTGCTTTAATTCTTCCTGAAGCATATCGTGGAGTTCTGAACAATCCAGTCAAAACAGTGAGAGATACACTGATCAACCAGTGTGCCCAGATCTTGGCTTGCTACCGGAAAAACTGTGCTAGCCCCTCTTCTGCTGGACAGGTAATTTTTTTAGCTCGGTTGTAGGATACATAGAACTGTCAACTAGAAATAGTTAGAAAAGATTTATGTAACTACACAAAAATGGAAGGAGAGCCAGTTCCACAGAATTGCCTCTCCAGCAAGGTAACACCCCTGTGTGAAATAGGAGTTGCAAGGGTCTGCATTCGGCATGGAAGACATTAGGGATGTCAGACTTTGTGCTGAGCCTTACATACCCATTAAAGGCTCTATCAACGTTATCCCTCTGGCATGCATGCATGTTTTGTCCCCAGCCTCAGTAATATTATTTAGGCCTCTCGAAGAAAAAAATGTTTGGATACATGCTTGAATGGTTGATTGTGACAGCTGCCAGGGACCAGATGTGCTGTGTTTCTCATGCACCCTCATCCATTTACTGCTACTTCCTAATGTTGTATATTGTGGCTCTGAGATAAATTTTAATTGTTTCAGAACACTTTGACAGCCAGTCTTGTCAAAGAAGTGAAGTCTTAAATGTAATGCATAATAGCTTCCTTAGGAAGAAAAATGTTTGAAATCTAGAAATCTGATAATGTATTTCTTGTTGAATCTTTTTGTATATAAGTGACTTATTCTTTTTATGCTTCAACATTGCCACACCATAACTTGTGATTATTGCCTATCTGACCTGTGAAAAATTCTGGTCATCAGATAAGTTGCCTAGCCATGCTCCTACATAAAACTTCAAGTCTTCCTGTCAGTTCAGCTATTAAAATATTAAGAACATTCAGTTCCTTCTCCTCAGCTATAAGGCTATCTGCCCTTTCTTCTCTCACATAGGAAAAGCCCTCAGAAACATACTTCTTCCAGTCTGGAATGCAGTCGTCCTATATGATTACTCTTTATATACATATTACTTTTCTAACACTTCTCTCTCTGTAATTTCCTGTCTTTCTACTTGCAGTTGATTCTCCCAGAATGCATGAAACTTCTCCCTGTGTATTTGAACTGTGTTTTGAAAAGTGATGTTCTTCAGCCTGGGTCAGAAGTTACCACTGACGACCGCTCCTATATCCGCCAGCTAGTCACCTCAATGGATGTGGCAGAAACAAATGTTTTCTTTTACCCCAGACTCTTACCACTGGTAAGTGCTACTACACATTGAAAATTTTTGATTGCTTAAACGCGTAGGCCATAAAATAAGCAAAAAACAAAAAAATACGCATACAAGGAAATAAACGTTAGATGAGGCTGTTACATCTAGAGTGCGAAAAAGTGCAGAATGGTTTTGTGGAGCTTTGGTTTAGGGTTATGTCTTGCCTTTCTTTACAGGGGTTCCAAACAGCTGTCATAAAAATACTAAATTTCAAATATTTGATTTAGCAAATATATAATAACGTAGAGCAGAAACAGTACAAACACATTACAAGAAATTGGGTGAGGGGACGGAAACTCATGCAATGAAATGTATTCTGGAGTGGCGCCTGAATGAGAATAGTATAGGTGATAATTGGATCTCTGGTAATTGAACCTCCTGTCATGTGTGGTGGCTGGAGGATATGCCACTCTAGGGGACAAGAAAAGTTCACCAGCTAGTCTCAAATTCTAGCTAGGTGGATACTGGTGAAGGCAAGGCCCCAAAGTAGCTGGGCCATTCAGAATTTTGTACACCACTGCTATTCATTGAATTGGTTGTAGTGACTTACTGGCAACCAGTGCAGCCATTTCAGAACAGGTGGAGTGTTTGCCTCTTCCTGCTTCTGATACTACCATGGCAGTAGCGTTCTGTACCAACTGCAGCCTCTAGAATGTTTTCAAGAGAAACCTCTATGTGGATTAAATTGTGAAAATGCAAATATATCAGAGCATTGAATATAGCTAATACAGTTCATGCATGCACTTTTTGATTCTGCATGTTAACTTGTGTATATTTTGATTGGGTTTTGGTAGAAATTTGATTCCCCTCCTTTCCAAAACAAGCAAGCAAACAAACAAACACCTCCCTGGTTGTACTTGGGTACGGTGTCGGGAAACTTCCATCTTTAGGTGTAAACTGTACTTTGCTGTTCACCTGCATCCAGTGAACAATTTCTTGCTTTCAAAGTGGGACTAAATTGTGGCATTGCAATCTGCTTTGTATACAAACCTGAAAATTTAGCTCAAACTGTGGTCTCTGAGGAGGAGGAAGCAGGCATAACTGGGACCCATAACCATTAATTCATGTAATGCCAAACCATCTTGGAACTTCAGAGTTGGAAGCAACCCAATGGATCATGAAGTCCAGCCCTTGTCAAAGAGGCATAATGGGGAATCAAGCCCCCAACCTCTGGGTCCACATCTAGATACCTAAGTCACTGAACTATTCATAATTATCTCTAAAATGTCTACAAATAAGAGGCATTTGCACATACTTCCTACTTTCTCAGCGTGGCAGTTTTTCCGGAATCATGTGCTGATTGTGCTACTGCAAGAACAGCCAAAAAAAATGCAGAATTGCAGGCACACTACAACTGCTTTTTAAGATGCTGTCTAGGTTTGTCATCGCTTTCCTCCCAAGAAGCAGGTGTCTTTTAATTTCGTGGCTGCTGTCTCCATCTGCAGTGATCATGGAGCTCAAGAAAGAAAAATCTGTCACTGCCTCCATATATTCCCTTTCTATTTGCCAGGAGGTGATGGGACCGGTGGCCATGATCTTAGGGTTTTTTTTTATGTTGAGCTTCATACCATTTTTTGCACTCTGAAAGCATAAAGGTCATTAATTTGTTTTTCAAAACTAAAGCTAGGTCTCCATGTTTTCCAACAGTTTTCTGGTTTTGCCCCGGTCTGTACGAAGTTCAGTGGATGTACACTGAAGTATAAGCCCTGCTTAAATGTTCCTATGATATGGAAGTATGTAGCCAGTGATGACTCCATTCTTTCTCTGCAGACCAAATTAGACCTCAATAGTGACTCCTTACCAACTGCAATCAGAAACTCTGAAGAGCGTCTTTCCAAGGGTGATATATACCTGCTAGAAAATGGGCTGAATATGTTTTTGTGGATAGGAGTAAATGTTCAGCAGGGACTGATCCAAAACCTCTTTGGAGTTTCATCATTTACCCAGATTAGCAGCTCTATGGTGAGTAAAATGAAATGGAATGGATAATTTGTTGTATTCTTTAGTATGATCAAATCTGATCTTTGCTACTTCCAGTTTCCTGCCAAGATCTGGATAATCATATTCAATGGTTGGAGTAGATAATGCTATTGGAAAACTCAGTCCTTCCTCAAGGTTAAAGTGGGTTAGAAATCAGAACAAAAATTGTAATACATTAATCCTATGTGGACTAGAGATTTTTCTTGCCAGCTATGGAATTTTCCAAGCTATGGGTTTATTTAGTGCTTCCATGATTTGGATTGTAAATGATTAGTACATAACTTATCTGCTGTGTTTGGTGAGAATTCAGGTCAATGAGGTAAAACCATTCTTGGTCTCTTCTGAAATGTTTTTCTTTATACTGTAGTGCACGCTGCCAATTTTGGACCATCCCTTCTCAAAGAGAGTGCGATCTATCATTGATATGTTCCAGTCTCAAAGGCCACGCTACATGAAGGTAACAGGTTCCTGCTTAAATCTGTGGAAATTATCACTTTTTTTTGGTTACCTTTGAGTTTCAGGTGTTTATATAAATTTGTGTTTGGACATTTTTGAGAAATAGCACAGTACTGCTCTTAATGAATGGGATTGTAGTGGCTGCTGTTTCTTTGGTTTTTGACTCAGTGTTTTCCACACATCTTTTACATTCAGGCATCCAGAACAGCATTAATGTATTGCATTGGCTATCTTTTTGATTGTACAGCTCTTTCTTTGTGGAGAAGCTAGATAGGGGTAAACGTTCCCGAGTCTCCAATAATATTTTGCACTGAAGTCACCACTATCTCATGCCTTAATTCTTTTTCTAATCTTTGGTTGCAGCTCGTGATTGTGAAGCAAGAGGACAAACTGGATCTGCTATTCAAGCACTTCTTAGTGGAAGATAAGAGCATGAATGGAGGAGCTTCATATGTGGACTTCCTCTGTCACATGCACAAGGAAATCCGCCAGTTACTGAGCTAGAGTTGGAGTAATGCTGGATTCCAGCACTGACACCTCTATATTCACTAACCATCTGATGAACGAGCCCAGCTCCTTCAAGGACAATATAGAAACCTGTACAATTCCATAATTTTTAATACACTGTGCATAAACAATTACAGCATCTCTCAAACCCTTTGAGTGAGACTTGGACAAACAAAACACTTCCTTATGGCAGAAAGAAAAAGATTTGTTGACTTCAGGTCTTAGACCTGTGTCTCTTATTGGCAGGACCCCTGCCTTGCACCACCCCAAATCTGTTATAAGAAATGTATGTTGAGGTCATTGTACACAACTCAGTATAAGGTGAAAAAGTGCTTCTCCAAACTGCACAGTGGCTGCTGTATTTGTTCATGTGATACTCTGTAAGAGTAGGAGCCAGATACGAAGTGGATGGCAGGTTCTGCTCAGATAAAAAGTGGATGTTGCATAGTCAAGCAGTTTGCTTCCATCTGAGCTAGGAAGATGCTGTAAGCCTGTGAGAGAGGTGTCTTCTAGAAAACAGCACCTGAACTCTGAGCCAGGATTCCAGAGTAAACATGCCTTCACTGTAGCTGTACTGCTGTGCAAGTCTGCCTTGGGATCAGTGAAAGATGAGACGTCCTGGAAAGTTAAATGTATCTTGCGCTGTTATAAATAAGTATTGCTGCCACCCCTCTGGGAAAAGCAGCACCCCTTCCCCTGGCCCCTTTTGCCAGTACCATCTTGCTTTGTGTTTTGCTGTCTCTTTCCATTCAAATGCAAAGTTTTTATTGGAATATCCTCTTTAGGTGATTGTGCTTTCCCTTTCTCATCCTGTAGAAAGTAATGTTTACACCAAGTGTCAGAAATGACTGAGGATAGTTGGAGAGCACCTGTTTGATTTGTACCCATGTGTACTGAGGAGACCTGTAGCAACACGTTGATGAAATAGTTCATATAATGTAAAGTTCAAATCATGCCACAATGTTTTTTAGAGTTCAAATCCTTAACAGATTTGAAGCAATCACATATGGCAATTAAAATGATGACATGCCAAGTAATTCTTTGGCCTACCAATGTCATATCTGTTGCAAGACTGCTTGTGATCTTATGGCTCCAATGATAAGCAAAGGTATTTTGCAAAGACAGGGTGTGTTTCAGAGTTCAAGTTGTCAAAGGGCTCATTAATTTTTAAAAAGAGGCTTTTTTAGAAAAAAAAATGCTACATCCAGGTATTCTTGTAATGCCCAAGATATAGTGAGGGAACAACACCATTAAAACTTGAAAAAGGAAAAGAGATTGCTTAGGCAAATGGATGATTAAGACTGAATTGTGGTAAACCATTTATTCCATCTGGCACTGAAAACTGAAATTGAAACCTTATGTACATGACCGATTAAATAATCCAGGAGTGTGGTTTCTATCCCATAACCTCTAGTGTGTGCATTTGTAAATATTTTCCCCTCTATTGCACCTAGCTTGTCTTCCCCTTCATTTCTTTCATTTCACAGTAAAAGGGGATGTTTGAGAACTGAAAGTGACTAGATATCAAGAGTTTTCAGTACTGTCATAATACATGGGTAAGTGTAATTGAGCTTCTTCCCATCCCCAAACATACATACTCTCTTCCACCAAAAATTTAGACATTAAACCAGTGAAGAACTCACTCCCCAGAACACAGTTCAGTACCCAGACTTTCAGATAACTAATTTCTAGAAGTATATAAAAGGAAAAAAAATCATAACTGTCTTCACCTTTTTCAATTCATCTTTTAATTTGTAAAGAAATTATATGAAGATGTATTTTATGTCACTGTTAGTAAATAAATACTGATTATTTTTTCCAAGCCCTGTATTTTAGGGAGGGGAATGAACTGGTGTGCAGGTGACTAAATCAAATTCAGTAATGGCAAATAAAAAATGTTATTTGCAATGATCTGTGAAAAGAATTCCGTAAGGTGCTTAATAAGCTTTTGTTTCTTTCTAAGCAAACATATTCTGGCCTTCAGTTTTCTGAAATCATTTTTCATTAGGGATGGCTTGAACAGTTAGTAATTTTTGTTGAAAGGGTGTAGCATGTTAACACTATATTGAAAGGAAACCTGTGTTCAGGCATTTCGATGATCTCTATGAAAAGCTATCCTTTGTCAATAGGATCGTCGTGAAGACATCATCTTGCACTTAAAAATACATTCGTGTCCATCTGGATGAATGCCCTTTTCCCTATAAAGTCTTCATATAGGCAAGATGATAGGAATCTGTGATGTCTGTGAACTATGCCACTGATTGGCACTGCACAATCACCCAGCAATGGGCTTTAACCTTGGCTATGTCTTATGTGAAAGAGGGGGTGTTGGGAGTATGGGCTCCTTAAATGGCCCAGTCAGAATGGATGACAGAAGACAGGTGTCAGCTGGAGTAGGAGAAACTGGCAGGAGGCAAAGAGACTCAAGCAGATTGGCTATACAGTATTCAAAAGAAGGCAATGGAGAGACAAGGGATACATGAAGCCTGCAGAACCCTAAAACATGAGAAATCTATGAGGTGACTGACAGGAGGGAATGACTGAACAGGCTAGTCTTCCATTATGAGTACTTCAGTTGGTCCTCCTATGAATGGAGCCACTACCTAGGGTGTATCTTAATTTGGAGTGGCACCTGAGTGGGTCATAAGTTTATGAGTACTTCAGTTGGTCCTCCTATGAGTGGAGCCACTACCTAGGGTGTGCATACCTTAATTTGGAGTGGCACCTGAGTGAGTCATAAGCTGAGGGCAATGGTATCAGGACGTTAAATTCTGTTACAAGTGTAGATTATTAGTATGATGATCCAAGATGGAATGGTCAAAGCTGAGATATCAAACTAAGATACATCTATTCTTCAAGAATGAATGGTCACATTAGCAGAAAAGAATTGACAGTGACAGAGAAGTTGAAAGAAAGGCACCTACTGGGCAGCAGCACTAGAAGGTGATACTAGCAGTCTTCCACAAATAACTGCAGTGACACTCTCTTGTTAACACTGAACAGAAGGCAGCAATGGAGAACTACTTCCAAATACAGTGGTGCCTCACTTAGCGATGTTAATCCGTTCCAGGAAAAACGTCGCTAAGTGATTTTAAAAAGCCCATAGGAACACATTAAAACGATTTTAATGTGTTCCTAAGGGCTTTGCACCGCCGCCACCCTGGCCGAGAAAGACCCCCTGCGCCTGCAGCAACCTTAGCTTAAGGTTGCTGCAGGCGCAGAGGGTCTTTCTCAGCCAGGGTGGTGGCGGCGACGCCTCAGTCTCCTTGCCGAGGCTGGAGCTGCCAGGGGTAGAGAGAGAGTCAAAGCACAGCTGATCAGGGGCTTTGCGATGACCCCGACCCCACCGATCAGCTGTGCTTCCTGTCTCTCCACTCCTTGCAGTTCCAGCGAGACTGAGGCACCGCCACCACCACCCTGGCCGGGAAAGGCCTTCTGCGCCTGCAGCAATCTTAGCTAAATTTAAAATGAATGCAAAAGCAACAACACTTATTAAGGCAACAAAAAGGATTACAGAAAAAGTATGTAACTTTGATGGTGACAATGAAAATTCAAAATACTGCAGTTGAAAGATTTTCTGTACCTCACTTCAATCACCAATGCAAATAAACTGCTATCAAGAAATCTGGAGAATAGATTTGGAAGGCCATCCATGAAGGAACCGGAGGATTTGTCGCTGGAGATAACCCATACTATGATACTCCCAATTACTTTGCATTGATGTGAAAGATGGACAGTGAAGAAATTGAAGTAAACAATTGAATTTATTCAAAATGTATTGTAGGAGAGTTTTATAAATATCATGGACTACCAGAGCAGGTCAAGCCTGAATGTTCTAAAAGAAGAAAATGATCAAGGCTTTGGGAGACCACTGATTCATAGTTAATGAGAAGTGAGTTAATAGCAAATCAATAGTAATTACTCTCAACTAATTTGCTTTGATTTCCGTGAGTCCACCTAGGTATTCAACTAGGTCGCAGTGGCAGAAACAGCATCGGGCCAAGGCAGCCCCCACTGGGGCCGTGACGCCCCGCTAGCCAGTCAGCCAGAGGCGGCGTCGCAAGGTTGCCCAGATCGTGATTTAACAGTGCCGGGAAAACGTCCGAGCCCCGGCACGGCTCTGCCTAGGCGGCCGGAAAGAGGAGGGAGGGCCGCGGAGGAAGGGCCCAAGGCGACCAGAGGAGAATGGCTTTCCTCCGCCGACCCTTCTCCTCGCTGGCCCTCCTCGCTCACTGCTGCTTTTGGGCTCTGCCGCCGGTCTCGGCGCTGCAAGAAAGAGGAAGGCCCGGCCTGGCCGACTTTGAGCGAAAGGGCGACCGGAGGCCCGCTTCGTCTGAGGGGAACGAACCGGCCGGGCCGTCGGTGTGGGATGGCGACGATGTCGACAGCGGCCTCTCGGCCGAGCTTCCTGTGGGCGCTTTTGACGAGGCAGCAGCGGCGGCGTCTTTCTTCCAACCGGCCGAGGTGACGCCGGGCCTCTTGATGGGGGCGGCGGCGGCGCCTTCCTTCCGCGGCCCGGGCAACAACGACACCCGCCGCAACAAGGAGCTGCCGATCCTGCTGTGGTGGAGCGGGAGCCTCTTCCCGCACTTCCCCGGCGACACGGAGCGCCTCGACTGCCCGCGCAGCTCCTGCTTGTCCACCAAGAACCGGCGGGTGAGGCTCCAGCGGCGGACGCGGGCCCTCCTTTTCTACGGGACGGACTTCCGGGCCTACGAGGCCCCTTTGCCGCGGCTGCCCCACCAGACCTGGGCCTTGTTCCACGAGGAGTCGCCCATGAACAACTACCTTCTCTCCCACCGGCCCGGGATCGCCCTCTTCAACTACACGGCCACTTTCCGCCGGGAGTCCGACTACCCTTTGAGCCTCCAGTGGCTGCCGGACTTGGCCTACCTGCGCCGGAGGCCGGCCTTCAGCCTGGCCGAGAAAGAGCGCTGGCGGCGGCGGCCGAGGAGGGAGGGCGGCCTGGCCCCCGTGCTCTACGCCCAGTCCCACTGCGACGTGCCTTCGGACCGAGACCGATACGTGCGGGAGCTCATGAAATACATCCCGGTAAGCCTGGCGGAGGGCCCCGGCGGTGGCTTCTCACGCCCCCCTCCCAGCCCCAGCCTGCATACCCGGGCGTCGGGGGCTGGGTGGTTGGGTGGGTCATGGGCGTTGTAGTCCCAAACCCCAGCCTTCTCCCGGGGGTGCCTCTCATTGCTCCTTTTCCTCGCCTCCCGCTCTCCAGCAGGGCCCGGCCGCTCGGCTGCTCTCCCCGGTTTGTACCCCTTGGCACCGCTTAACGGAGCTCGGGCGGGCAGGCAGGATGAAGGTGGCGGCGCCGGCGGGCTCCTGAGGAGAGACGAGGCGGCGGGAGGCGGCAGGTGCAAGGCGAGAGGGACGAGCAGGAGAGGGACGTGAGGCGGGTGGGGGAGGGAGAGGCAGGGAGGCGGCAGGAGCGGCGAGGGGGTGAGCAGGAGCGGGCCCAGGTGCCTCCACGGCAGGAGATTGGGAGGGAAAGGCGACGGTGGGCCCCTCCTCCTCCTCCTCCTCCTCCTCCTCCTCTTCCGGGAGCACGTGCCTCCGTTGGTGCCGCTGACCTCCCTACCACCTACCTCCCTCCCTTCCAGCACCATCGACCGCCATCGCTGCTTTTGGCAAGGTGGGCGAGTGGCCCAGGTGTTCGAAAGAGGTATCAGGTGGAGGGCCTGGTTTTGTAAGAGCCTTGCCAAGTAACTGCAGAAAAATTACCAGACCATGTAAGCATCCCCGTGGCCCAACGTTACAGTTTAAAATAATGGACTTGGTTCTTCACTCAAAGGGAATTCCTTATCGTATTTGCTCAGAAATGTATCTGAAGGGTGATGCTAGTAGGAGTTAAGAGTGGTGTCTCGCTAGACAATGATAATCCGTTCCACTGAAATAGCTGTTTAGCGAAATCATTGTCTAGCGAAAAGCATTTCCCTATTGGAATGCATTGAAACCTGTTTAATGCGTTCCAATGGGGAAGAATCGTCGTCTAGCAAAGATTGGCCATAGGAAAGCCGCTTTGCGAACCGCCGATCAGCTGTTTAAATCGCTGTCTTGCGAAGCTTAGGTCCTGAAAACACCTGTTTTGTGATCGCAAATGGAGCTGTCAAAATTTGCTCCTTTTCCTCGCCTCCCGCTCTCCAGCAGGGCCCGGCCGCTCGGCTGCTCTCCCCGGTTTGTACCCCTTGGCACCGCTTAACGGAGCTCGGGCGGGCAGGCAGGATGAAGGTGGCGGCGCCGGCGGGCTCCTGAGGAGAGCCGAGGCGGCGGGAGGCGGCAGGTGCAAGGCGAGAGGGACGAGCAGGAGAGGGACGTGAGGGGGGGCCCGGGAGAGAAAGAAGCCCCCACCCTCGGAGGGCAAAACAGCGGGGGGGGGAGGGAGAGGGAGGGAGGGG